TTCAAAATTTTCCAAAAGAAAAAAAAATCGAATAGCAGGCCATGACTTCGTATCTGAACATAACTTTTAATTCTAAGCAACTTTTCTCTTCAACATATTTCTATATTTTTTAAGTACGGGTACTTTACTCTTGAACGAACTTTATATTTTTTGGCCTATCCTGTATGGTGTTTGTCATAAAGCCATTTCAGGTACACTTGGTATAGTTTTGGAACATGCACCAACTTTTGTCAAGAATAAAATTTTCTGAGAAATCGATAATAAAAAAGTTTCCCATTTGTTGCAGACTTAGTGGACCACACTGTATATCTTTCCTCAGTTTTCAGATTTGTTTCATATTATTGAATACAAATTCAAAGTACACTGTCCATTTAAATAACAACAGATAACTATGAATTGAAATTATGTATATTTTTTTTATAAGGTTTTTAACCTCTCAAAGAATGAATAAATAATTTATATGCTTCACAGAATTTGTCAATGAGAATCATAATTCTTCAAACAATAAGGAACTTTTGATTGATCTTTTGATTTATTTGCACCACTTTTGTTTTCTTTCAACTACTACATATTTTTTTAAATTTAAGATATGAAACAAATTCATCTACAATTGTGGTGAAAACATTTTCTAAACCAACAAAATTCTGTAGGGAATTTGTATTTTGATATGTTGAGAAATTCAAATTTTCGAAATCACATTTGATCTGTAATTTATTTCGTTATCAGAGGAAAAGGTTTTATCTATAAGGGTTTTGTTAGAAAGATGCTCCTTCATATGGAGAACATAATATGTAATTTTATATTTGAATGATTGTTGATTATCAACAGGCAAAAAAAAACTGATGTTCAATAAATTTTTTATTACTGTACATAAAGGTATTTATCACCTCAAAATAGAATCCATTTTCTTAAAAACAATCTTTCACTCGTCTCCTTTCGAGAGACCAAAATATCAGACTTTCTTTCTAAAATAAATATAGTTGGCATAAGGTAGCAACCTGTTCTTGAAATTCAGTATTTATTGCTTCTAAATCATTATTCATCATCATAAATAATTGTTGTATTATCTTCGAAGCAAATTAAATGTACACACTGAATTGCAGAGGTAAGTTTGATTCACTTCAAGTATTGGAAAGCTTAAATTTGTGAATACATCACAAGTATACCTGATAGGTTCAAAAATGAAATTTATTTAAAGTATAGTTTCAGATTACTTGTTTGGAAGTGCTTGATGTTTCTTGGTGAACGTTACAAATTTAAATTTCCATTGCCTAAAATGGTGTTAATAGATTTGAAATCTGTGTAAAAAAAAACAAAATTAATGTAATGTTGAAATTATTGAAAATATTTGAAATTACCGAACTGAAATATTCAGATGAGTTTGTCAAAAAAGGAATGATAAAAAGAAAACAAATTGAACAAAAATGAATAAACAAGGAGTATAAAAATTGAAAAATGTAAGATATCAGATTTGTAAAGTAAACAAATGAACTGAAATGAAAATGAATCAACAAATAAGTGATATGTCAAATATATACGAAAAACCAAAATGAAATAAAAACTAAATAAAACCATCTCAAAAGAAAATTTGGTTGTGGAAATTTTCATTTTAGTTGTTCTTCCATAGAGTTCAAATATGTTAAGACCGTTTTAGACAGTTGAAGTTCTAACTTGTAATATTCACTTCAGATTTACTTGTTAAAAAAAATCCAAGTTCTACTTGGATTCTACTTGATTACACTAGCAAACTTTAGTTTATAACACAAAATAAATTTGATCTGATCACTAAAAGTAATAACAGAAAATTGATGAAACTTTGATGCTTGAATGAACATCAAAATATTCAGAATTTCATCTCAAGATCTGAATTGAAGAATGAATCAAATTACCCAATCACCTTGCATTCCAAATATCATAAAATATACATACGAGTAACATATCAATATACTGAAAAATAATATGAATATAGTACATCACATCCTAGTTCAAAAAAAAAATCAGGTTTCTATGTATCAGTGATAGAGGTGAGATCTGATTCCGCCGATTTCCTATACATTTATTTGCAGAAGTCCAACAATGATTACAATTGAATCAGTGGTGATCATTTCCCTCACATCATGAATTGAATTTATTTATTGAATTAGGATTCTCTAATATACAGGTTAGCTAGCTTAAAATATAATATAATCAACGAAGTTAATATAAATAATACAACTTTATATACATACATAATTTGAACTGAACAAAAAGGAATTTCTCAATTTCCATCATGAATATATTTTAACAGTTTGCTCTTGAAAATCTTCAAATGATAGAATAGATTTAATTGAATCAGGTAAATTATTGAATCGGACAAAACCTTTGAAAAAAAAACTGCTCATACTATTTCTTGTATTTGTTCTATTTATATGAATGTGACTGTTGTGCCTAGTAGAATGGTGATGAATGTCATTGAAAGTTATTAATAATAGCAAGTATGGTGGGGTCATTGTATTAAATATTTTATAAATGAAAACTATGGAACAATAGAATAATCTTTTGGATACTGAGAGCCATTGTAGAGCAGATAGCATGGTAGAAATTGGTGTATACCTATTACATTTTAAAATTATTATCATTCCCCGATTTTGTAGTTTTTGTATTTGTTGTACTTTGTTCAAATTAAAAGAGAATAAAATAGATGCACAGTAGTCAAAATGGTGTTGGATTATTGATTTATATACCATAATTTTTGTATCTGTTCATAAATTATTGGCGATTCTTGAGAAAAAAATGTAATTTTTTTACAATCTTTTTATAATACACTTGAAGTGGTCGTCGAATGATAAGCAATTATCAAGTTGAAATCCCAAATACTTCGCTGATTCTATACGTTCATATTCAATTTTTATATTTATGTTGTTTGTATTTATTTAATTATATTTGAATTTAGTAGTGATTATCATTGCTTTAGTTTTTTTTACGTTAAGTTTCATTTTATTGGTTTTCAGATATTTTTCTACTTTCTATAAAACCTTATTCATTCTGCCAACAGTTTCTTCTAAATTTACTCCAGTACCATGCCAATAAGGAATAAGGTATCATCTGCAAATAAGTTGATGAACTCACAGTCTGCAAATAGTTGTAAATCATTCAGATACAGAATGAATAATAGGGGACCAATCACACTACCTTGTGGTACTCCTCTGTTATATAAGATGAGCAATAATCGTTTACACGTACTCTCTGTTTGATGAATAATTACAAATCCAAAATACTTTTATCAATCGTTTCAAAGGCCCTTTTGAAATCTAAAAAGACAGCTAGAACATCACTGGCCTGAACAAATTGTTCCTTCAGATAATTTGAGCTACAACATATTTACCTTTATCTGTTTCATTAGTAAATTTAGTTAGCAATAACTGTAGTGATGTTTCAAAAGAATGTTTTTTTCGAAAACCAGATTGATTGATAAACATGATATGATTTTTGTCAATAAACTCTAATAATTGATTATATACTGATATTTCTAAAACTCCTCTATTGGAGGTAAAGTATTAATAGGTCTAAATTAACTTGCTTTTATAGTGTTTGTAACTTTAGGTATAATGGTAATTGTTTTTAATAATTGGGGCAATTGACCATTTGGGAGCGATGTATTAATTTTTTTTTCTTTATTTCAGCAATTAACTTGTGAAAAATGTCAAAAGGTGATATAACAACATAATACAGATTGAAAAAACTGTTAGATATTCACATAAATATAAATATAAATACACATACATGTTTACATACATAAATACACATTAATTTGCATATACATGAAAAGCATATTGCCTACATATTCCATTTAGAATTCAAGTTTCCTAATTAAAAAATTCTTCTATGGTGTAGCAGTTTTTGCGGAGTAAGTGTGTTTTCAGGAGATTTTTGAAGATTGTTGTGATCTGCCAGAGAATTATAGCATTTGCATCCAACATATTCAAAGTTTTTTTGATACCAGACGGTGGTATGTCGGTGGGGTAAAATAAGGTTTTATCGTATGGTATCATGTTCATGGTGTGTTCTGATGGCCTTATTTTTGAAAATGAAACAACACACTTCGAGGATGTATGTGCTCATAACGTTAAAATATTAATTTTTTTTTAAATCTCTCTGCATAACTCACTTTTGCAATTATTCTGATTGCATATTTTTGTAATAAGAACACCCTTTGTACAGAGGAACTTGCTCCCCAGTTTAAAATTCCGTATCTCATATGAGAATGGAAGTGGGCAAAGTATAAAGGCAGAAGGATATTTTCCCTGCACTGACTCTATATAAACTTGAGTGCATAACATCCTTTTCTAAGTTTGCCGCAGACAATATCAATATGTGAAATCCATGAGAGCTTCGAATCAAAGGTAATTCCTAGCATTTTGATGGATTCAGAAGAAGACACGACGTTATTGGTATTTTCAAACAACAAAAGCTGGTGTGGTGTTCCCGACTATTTGAACAAAACATCAGAGCATTAGTCTTTGATTTATTAATTATTAAATGGTTTTTGTCTGACCAGGTTATCACCTTAGCATAGGTAGTCTCAGCCAATAATTTTAATAATACTAAATCTTTTTCTATAATTAAAATGTTTGTGTCGTCTGCATAACATGTTGTAATAATTTTATTGTGTTCGTTCAAGTATGATATGAGGTCATTGGTAAATTCTATGAATAGAAGGGGGCCTAATATTGATTCTTGTGGGACACCTTGCGTAATACCTAAGGGTATTGTTGTTTATTTTAACAATTTGCTATCTGTCAGATACATAGGATTCTAGCAAGCTAAAAGAATCTCATGACTAACACAGTAGAATGCTTTAGAAAAGTCTATGAAGAGGCCCATAACAAGTTTTTTATTATCAAGAGATTGAATTATTTTGTTTTGGAATTCACATAATTAAATTGAGGATTGCATGACCAGCTGTATCAAATACTTGCTTTAACATTTTAGAATTCAAGATTTCATGGATACTATATTTATTATCTAATGACCCAATTATATCATTCAAATCTCTTATTTGAAAACTTTATGCATTTTAACAATACTGGATTGCATAAAGAATAGAAGGAATTAATCATAACTGGTTATAACTTTGTTGAAGAAAAAATTTTAGAAACAAAGGGGAAAAATTGAAATATTTGATGATGATATATCAGTAACATAAAGTGATCAAAATATGATGAATATTTTTTAAAAGTCCTTCTTGACTAATAAGTCACAAATTTAATTAGAATTCGGGAAATCTGCGTTTTTCAGTTCAAAAAATTTTGAATCAGTTTCATAGACCTTAGAAGTCCAGTCCAGTCCAGAATAAACGGCCACGATTAAGTGAGAAATGCTTGAAATTGTTGGGACCGATACATGACAACAAATTTTAAGATACCTTCAACAGTTTAGGACTCAAAAAAATGTGGAATAAGTTCTATGAACGGTGGCAAAGGTCCCATTCATAACAGTTCTCTGTTCACACTACGTAATTAAAGATAGAAAAGAGGTAAGGAATAAGTTTCTATCGGGTAGCAAATAACATTGAGTACTTGGTATTTATTTAATGACCTCATTTTGTAAGGTAATGATTTGTCAGATACTCATAAAAACATTAAAACAGTCGTTAGAAGCAGTCTTAATCATATCCTTATGATGCTAACTTGGTTAGTTGAAAGCTGAGCAAATATTGTCTTTAATAGATTCACTTGATTTAAACTAGGCCAACTTTGCTTTTCACTAGCCATGTTAGCAGACAAACTGTTTTTAGTCATCTCCTGATGATACTATCTTGGTTAGCGAAATCATTGTCGAGAGTCATAACCTATTGTCCAGCGTGGAAAAAGTGTTTTTGAGAAGCTGAGTGCATTTTCAAGGGTACTGTAACTCTTAATTTTTTTTTTAACGACCCTCGTATATTGTAAAAATATTATGAATAGAAATAGTATTCATTTGAACATAGTGACAGTTCAATTTTCCTAGTTTATACAAAAAAGTGTCATAAAAAACAAAATCTTCAAGTCCTTGTTTTTTCATGAAAAAAACTTGAAAAACTGTCTACTTACCATACTTGTATATAGATGTTAACCAAATTACATTATATGTTGGATCACAAAATACTGTATTTTCTAATCCGGCAATTCAATTGAACATGACGAGTTCAAATGAATAGTAGGAGCTTGGAAGAAATTTATTATTACAACTGAAATTTATAATTTGAGAGCTCTGATATCTTTATTTATTTATTTTCACCTTTCTATTTTCTAACATGAAATTCTACCGTTGTCAATTAATCAATTTCCTTAATATGAAAATTTACTCATAAAATGTAATTTCCTTGTATAAACGGTACTAATACTACTATGAATATCACTTTGAAATGGCATATAAATACAATATTACTTCAATTCTCTCCAATTTCTCAGTAAATATACAAATTGTTTTGATTTATCTTTATACAGCTTTGAATTCACTCCCATCTTTTGAAGAGAAAGCGGATATACAATGGTCGCCAAAGAACAGAGATGAGCCGATTATACAAATAGTTGTTTCAAAGAAGCAATAGAAACAACAGTGAATTCGAGTAGCTACTGAAGTATAAGGAATTTCTTTTTTCTGAATTCATTAGTTATCAAACAGTAGAGTGCCAAGTGGGAGAAAATAATAAGAAATATTGTGACATAACTCAGTCCTTTACAAAAAGACAATTTTCAAAACTTCTTGGTATTATTAATCAACTTATCAGTTCTACAATGTGGCATTTCCTTTTCATTTTCTTTAACTTCTTCATATTTTGTGTGTGAATTTTCAAATTACTTCATAAAATAATATCAAAATTAGTTTGTCAATAAAAACTACTAACAACTGAACTCAAGTGTACCATTTCCAAATGAAAAGTTTCTTGGACTCCCTGGCAACAAATTCATCAATCTTTCAAAGTTTACTTTGCTTAGTGCTATTTTTACCACACTAATAAACTTACCCAGGACCAGAGTAATGTTCCATTCTTTCAATCCGTCTATCCTCCATCATCTGCTGATGTACATGCAGAGGCATCTGTGGTAACTGTCCTTGTGGAGGTAAATGACCCGATCCAACTGGCGGCATATGTGGGTAATGCATACCTGGTGGTAATCCTGTAGGAACCATGAAAGGAGGTCTGTCTAGAGATGGAACCAAGCCAGGAGGGGGGCCCATCATCGGCATAGACATATGTTGTGGATCGTTACCATTATAAGACTGAAAAATAATAACATGTGAGGAGATCTACTAATATCATAAATAATAAGTGTTAAATCTCAAAATTCAAACACCCACCATTGGCGTTGAAACAGGCTGATATCCATAGTTCATTTTATTGATTGGAAGAAACTGAGGTTCTCTCATTAAGGTATGATAAAGTCCTAAAGCTTCAACAAGATCAGCGCTGAGTTGAGTTAGCTGTGCATGTTTTCTATCCACTCTTTCTAATTCAGCATCTATTAGAGGTCCCATATTATTAGCCTCCCCTAAAACGTATCTAGATCAGAATATATTTCAAGTCTATTATTACGAGGACTGTTCAAAAAGTAATGATAAAATGTTATATGGAAAAAAAGTAACCCTCTCCTTCTGAAACACTTTTCAAAGCACTCGGCTGTTTTTTAAACAGCAACTCCAACCTTTTTGTTATCTCCTTATATAATAATCGGTCAAATTTGTGAGGAATGATGATTGGATATAGTTGTGATGCCCTGTCCAAATAATCCACCACTACACAAGTTACTTGGGCCACATACTGCCATGTTAATATAGTAAATTGTGTTTAACGTTATTGTGAGAATTTTTTTTCTTAAAATAACGTAATGAAATAAACTGAATTAAAATAACTCAACTGATTTGAATCGCAGTTAATCTTTGATTTTTTCAGAGACGGTAATCGGGTACTTTTATAATGTTACCTCACTTCCAAATTATAGTGATAAATTTAAAATTCATCTATGGTAACGATTCTATAATTTTTTTCTTCTACTTCCAGCCCAAAACTGCAATTTATTATGGTACAAGCATCTGTAAGATAAACACTACTTGCATGTATATATGAAAATACTACCACCTAAAATATTTGGACATGCAGCAAGCTCCCTTACACTAATTCTTCAGTGAAAACAATAGCAGCTATATTCTGTGTTTTTTGTATTGTATTCTAAGCATAATTTGGATGTGATATGTTGAAAATCACATGTTTCAACATCTTGACAATAACTGTAGTTGATGTATAAGCATTCAGCTCATGAATTACAACCTTATATCTTTTTTTTAAGAACAAGACACAAGCACTACAGGAAAAACCCTACGGCGCTCTTCGAGCGGTGCCTGTATGAAAGTAGCGATTCACATTGGGAAGTTTTCCAGATTTAATTGGTTCACTATTTTCTTCCTCGTTATTACAAGATGTAAAGATAGATCCAGAAGTTTATTCAATGCTGATATTGGTATAAGCCATACCATTTGCTCCCATTATTCCCAAACAAGCAATCCTTTACGTCCTGTTTAGTTTGTTGATAGCGGTAGCTTGTTTTGTCTTTGGCCACCAAACCAAAGGAGCATATGTTATCATGAAGTTAACCATCTTTAAGTATAGCTAATTCATCATATCTGGTTTCAACCATCATTTCTTTCTTCATTCTGGCCAGAATGAGTGATACCCCTCACCTTTTTTTATCTTATTCAAGTGTTTGTAACAGGTCATAGTTGAAGAGGTCTTGGTCTCTCTCTATTTTGTTCCTCTTGATGATTACTACCATGGACAATTTGGATGGGATCATGTTGAGCAGTCCATTTTGTTAAAATATTGAGGAATGCTGCATGGGTCCCTTCATATTCGGTTGACTACGATGATTAAGTCTACTGCATAGTTTTCTGATTGATTAGGCTGTTACTTGATGAAGATCTATAGTAATTTCATAAACTACAATTCACGATTTGATCTCCACAAAGTTTGTGGAGATTTGATCACCACGATTTGATCTCCACAAACCTTGTGGAGATCAAATCATGAGGTGTACTTTATGAAATCTACTGCATAGTCCAGTACTTTATATCCATTAATGGTTTGAAAGACATATTAACTTATGTATTACTACAAGAGCTCATAACAGTGGAATCAATACTCCTTGTAAAGACAACTCTACAACTATTTTCATTCTCAAGCTAAATGACTGATTCTAAGGATTTATACATTTATATAGAATAGTCGATATCCCCACCTTTCACAACAGATTCTACCAGTGTCATTACTTTTGGAGCAACCTCCATATTATAATTGTGAATACTGATAAAATGTTAGTTCCACATAATACTCTGTTAATAAGGATTTTAAATATATATTATTTATTAGCTAGTATTCAAAAATAGTGTATTAAATTAGATGCAAGGTGTCGATAATCACTCCATATAAATCTTTTGTTAAACCTTCAACCTTCAGAAAAATAAAGTTTTAGAGTATCTCGTTATTTTTAATAAATGATAACCCACTTATGTAAAATAGATTTTCTCCACAGTTTATCATAATTTCACTAATTCCTGGGCTTCTGGGCAACAGCTGATTAACGGAAAAACAGATTTTAAAAAAACAGATTTTTTTCTCCATTCACTGATGAACCTTTTTCTCTACTCATTAATGAATTGATTAATGAATATTTAGTTAATTGAAGATTCATAGTTTACAATATGTGAAAGTGTCAGAGAGGCAAACCAACACTATTTGAATAAAAGAAGTTATCAGTACTTTTTGAAAGTCTACTTACTTTCTAAGTTGATCATTTCTTCCGTATCCTTTTCAGGATTTGTAGGATCAGCTTCGTGCAGCAAATGCAACAGTCTATTAATTTTTTCTTCATTAATCTCTACTTCTTCTGGTTCTTCTTTCACCTCTTTTACCTCAGCCGTTTCCTTAAACTGTACCATTTTTTTGGCTTTTTCATACACTGAAAGAAATAAATTTTATTAGGCAAGTAGAGAAAATTGATTACGAAATTATGGCTTAAAAATGCTCAATCTTGAATTTGTTTGCACTGTTGGTCAAACAAGATGGTAAGACTTTCCTTCATTTATATATATTTATCTTCTAAGTTGGTATATATCATGAACTTATGCAAAGCTGAAAAAGTTCATAGCTTAAGACTTATCAGCTTTTCAGTATGAAGGAATAAAATTTAAAAAATGTAGATACTTATTACTTGTATGATTGTATAATGAAACATAGATTCGAGAATATCTCCACCCAAATCAAAAAATTTTTCTTTTCACTTAATCTTTTAAAACAAGATATAAGACAAATATCTGATAAAAAAAAACACTTCATTAGTTTCTTCACTTCACCAAGGGTCAAAACAAAAATGTATTCTTAGCACTTCAAGAAATGCGAATGAAAGTCGTGTGACCAAAGTTTATAAAATATTTTGGATGGAGACAATTACTATGAATATTGGCAAACACAGATAAATTTAATAAACACACACACTCAAGATAGTGTTAAAACTCATAAAAGCCTCTTATTTTTTTCAAAGGCCAGTAAAAGATTGTGATAGTAGGTTGATACTAGACAAAAAGACTGCTTGTCTACTGTATAGTTATCAAGTTTGTCAGGAAACAAACATTGATTTTCAGAACAACTCATAAAATTGCTTTGATGCACTTAAATTTGTTTTTTCAGTAAAAGATAACTCACGAATTTTTTCTGGTTCTACATCAAGATCAGCAGTCACAAAATTAACAGGAAAAAGTCCTTCGCCTCTTTGATTACTTCCTTTCCACCAGTTTTGATCAGAATCGTCAGTTACACAAACTGCAATAAAAATTATAATTGCAGAATATGTTATAAATAATTAAACTTGATATTTCTCAAAATAATTAAAAAATGAAATATATTCATCATACTAATTTCTCCAGCATTGAATGTCAATTCGTTATCTTCAGCTGCCTCAAAATCGTACAAAGCTCTAACTTTCTTTAGTTCCTTGGGAGCGCCTGATACAGAAGAGGCTGCATTAGCATTTGTTATGCCGGTTGACATGTTGACTGAGGGATAGAGGGGCGGATTATAGCTTGATGTAGAGATGGTTCTAGGTGAACTGGAATCTTTGAGGGATAGTTCGATGGCTTTCAAAATTTGTTCTTCTTCTTCCTGAGTCTCAACAACATTCGGGTCTTTACTTATGGGGGCTACTTTTTTCACAGGCTGTAAGAGAAGTAAATATGTATTTATCTGAGGTTATTATTTGAGGAAAATAAATGCTTTCAAGAATATTTTGTAATTCCCAAATGTAACATCAATGAACATAATTTAAGAATGTTTAGCGAAGTGTCAAAACCCTTCAGGACATTTATTGGGTATGTCAATTACTCTTTCCAAAATCAAAGGTAACCCCCAGAACTCTTACAAAGCAGTCACATTATGAAAAGATTACATTTACGTTAAACAGAAACTATATGACTCATAATGTGTTTTTAATAGTGTATAAAAGTATCTAACTCTAATTAATTTTGAAGAAGGTACATCACTCCCCTACCTCAGTATTTGCAAGAGTTAACCAATACAACGAATAGAGGAAGTTGGGCAAAGACATTCCTTCTTTCCTCAAGAATGCAAACCAGTGTTCACTACCATGGCACGGCTTTCATACAACCTAGAGCCCCAAATTTTTACATTGAAATTTTAAATACCTCCATCTTATCCCAGTCATTTGTCCACAGATGGTTACATTGGTAGATAATATTTTTGATAGATTACCCCTATAAATTGCAACCATCAATGAACTAAATTAACAAGGTTTTACCTTTTGATCATTATAAAATACAAAATGTTTTCGGACTGTAATATCTGAATTAAAGAACCAGGTCATTTCCAATCAGTTAAAAATCAATTTCTTTTCCAGAATACTGCGTTCTGTTCCTTGAACAGGTAACACTTGTCTGCTGCAAAGATCACGAACTTGTGGTAGTTCCATTTAGCTCAGTTATGATTGAGTTGTCATAGATGAGAGTCGTTTAGGTTGTTACTGTGATTTTCATAATTATTATCGTCTATCGTGCAATATATCTGTTCATAAACATTCTGTGTGTTAAGTTGTGTGCATTACATTCGAATATAACTACATTTTTTAAAGGTTAGTCAAGTATTTTGTTGATTATCAAAATGTAGTCGAGAAATACAATAAGAAACTCAAATTATTAAATATTTGTTAAAACATTTTCTAAATTTTAGATGTTAGTTAAATTGAAAACTAATTAAAGTAATTTAATTTAATTGATATTGATAAATATAGGATAACTTTCATACTTAATTCGGTTTTACATTACAACAATCAATGTAAAAATTATGAAAGAAATACTAAATATAAAAAAACAATAAACAAATTTTTATAAACACTTAAAAAGAATCCATCCTAACAAACAAAATTGAAGACTATAATAAATACAAAAGTTCAAAAAAATCTTGTAAAAGAAAGAGACTTACAAATGAAACTCAAGACTCCGAAAGTAAAAAATCCAAAGAAGTTAAGTTGATTCAACCTTCCATTTTGGGAATGACCAAAGAGGGTGGCAAACCAATTCTAAGCCAATCTGTATTAAAAAACAGAATAAAAAATTTTGTTGTGAACACAATGAATGCAATATCTATAATAGAACATCAAAGTTTCAAGAATATCTTTCAAGGATCAAACTTGAAAATACCAACAAGGAAGACAATAATGAAATGAATCGTGGAGTCACATGAAGAAAATTTGAAAGTAATTAAAAATAAAATTAGAGGTATTAATTACTTATGCAGCACAGCAGATATTTGGTCGAATAAAAGAAGAAGCTTCCTAGGAGTTACCATTCACTGGTTGGATGAAAACTTTGTTCGTGAATCAGCTGCAATTGCTTGTAGAAGGTGAGTAACTTTAAATGTTTTCAGATCAGCCACCCAATAAGTTTTTTAGATGTAGTTAATTTAGTTATTAGGGTAGTTTTTTATTTTCTTATTAAATTTCTCGGTCCCATTATTGGACAGTTTTTATTCAATATTTGAGAACTGAATTAACTACAAAAAGATCTTCACAAAAAACCGTAAATTCGTTTTTTTCAATGATAATGCTTATTTGACAGTTATTTTACTGAGAGCGCTTCTCTGAAAATAATGAAATGATGACTTTATTCTGATGACATTTTCTGTATTCGTCAGTAAATTGATTTTTTTGTCCTTTTTGTTAATTTTTTTTATTAAATCAAATAGATTTTTATATAAAGTGTAGAAATAAAAAATAGGATGTCTCAAAACAATTTATGTACTTTAAAATATTTATATATTTTTCAATATTGTTGATGAAGATTGCCCAGGCAATACAAATCTTGCCTTAATGCCATTTTTCACAAATTTTTCATATTTTAGCATTAGATCGTTTAAATATCGGACATAAAAAAATATTTAATTTTTGAAAAAAAAATGTACTGGGTTGTGTTGGAAAAATTTCAAATATTAAATTAATGTACAATGAAGTAAAACGTGCATTGGTACTACTACAAAAAATCAATTGAGTAAACAGTGTGAACACTAATAAAAATTTAACTTATATTTTTGTTTAAGGTTTAAAAGAACTCACTCGTACAGAAACATAGCTGAAATGTTAGAAGATATAAATTTTAAATTTGGTTTAACAGAAAATAAACTGGTGGCAACAATAACAGACAACGGTAGTAACTTCGTTAAAGCTTTCAAAGTATTCGGCGAAAAAAATGAGGATGAAGACGATGAAGAAATTGACGAAGAAGTAGATGAATTTCAAATTTTACATTTAGATATTGATGAAGAAAAAAACAACGAATAGTCGGAAGACGATATAGAACTACCGAAACACTTGCGATGTGCCACACATACTCTGAATTTAATAGCCACCACTGATTATAAAAATACTGTTAGATCAACTCCAGCCATACGTAGAAGAGGAAAGAATGCATTTAGTAAATGTGCTCGGTTATGGAAAAAATCCAATAAATCTAAAAGCAATGAAATTTTAATTAAAAATTTAGGACATACACTGAGTTCTCCAGGGACAACTAGATGGAACTCCGTTTATGATGCAGTTGCGCAAATTTTGCAAGTGAAAGAGAAACTTTCAATTCTGCTACAAAGTTTATCTTTGAAACCTTTTAAGGAAGCTGAACTATTGTATCTGGAAAAATACTGCTTAGTTATGAAACCTTTGGCTTTAACGTTAGATTTGTTACAAGGTGAAGACAATGTGTCTTTTGGATACTTGTTGCCTAGTCTAATTTCTTTAATCAACAAGTATGAAAAACCCATTGCCCAAACCCAAAATAAATTGAAATATGGAGGAGAACATTTAGCAAAAATTTGCATAAAAAGTTTAAATACTCGTTTTAATAAAATTTTAAATTTGGAACAGATGGAATATGAATCTTACAACGAATCAGATGAAAGCGGGACCAAAATGTTGACGACTTTTTTGATTTCACGGATTCCCAAGATGACCAAGAAGTAGGCACTGTAGGCAGTAGTAGTACTATGAACGAACAGGGTACTGAGGGTACCAGTGGAAGTAGCAATAAAACTACAAAAATTCAGCTGGAATTATTAAGATATCTGGAAGACAAAAGAACTAATTCACAAGTATTACATGAATATCCAATATTAAAAAAGTGTCACTCAAGTATAATACATGCTTACCTTCGTCAGCACCAGTAGAAAGACTTTTCTCTTTTGCAACTATGATTGATACGCCAAAGAGAAAAATGTATGTGATGAACACTTTGAGGTATTGGTACTGACGAAGGCAAATTCAAACTCGAAGTTACTATTATAGATATAAATGTCACATCTAGCGAACAATGTGGTAAAAGCTAAAAATATTTTTTTCGCTGAAATGTTCTTTGTTTACAAAATGAATATGAACAGAATACTTGTATCCGAGTACATTTTTAGGTGAAAGTATCCGTAATTTTTTAAAAAGTATCCGGATACATTGAAAGTATTCGTATCCGGTATTCGGATCTTTTTTTCCTGTATCCGACCCAACTCTGCTTGGTGATTGAAACATGTGTCGAAGTGTTAAAAATAACGGTTTGGTGTTGGGATAAAACTCCAGTATATTCATTACCACACCAAAGGTTTCAAACAGTGTGTTATCAGTAAATAACTTCTGCAACATCTGTTCATATTATTTAGTCCATATTTTCAAATGATGAATATTTTTGAAGTTTTCATGATTTGATAGTGTTGAATCCTCAATTGAACAACAATCCTTAGCATTTTCAAATATTAATAACTTATATTTTAGCTAAAGAAAAAAGAAGTAAAGCTCCTCAGAAAAAGCATTGTTGTTGCTTCTGTCAAAAACATTTGTTCAAAGTTTACCGCCACTACATTGAAGTACACAAGACTGAAAAAGAAGTGAGAGAGATAATGAATCTTCCAAAAAAGTCAGCTTATAGAAGATCTCTTCTGGACAAACTCAGATCATTTATTTAATACTCAAATAAAAGATGAATATCAAAATGACATTGTTTGTAAACAAACAAAAGTTAAAAGGGAAAGAAATGCTCAATGTCCAAGTTGTTTCCAATAAGAAAGGACTAGAAACACAAAAAATTAATTTCACAAGGAAAAAATGTGATTCGCCCAAAACAGAACAGATTGCGAAATTCCGAATACATTTGAAATCTAAAATAATACATTACACAACTAGGATGAGTCAGAACTATTTCTTCAAATACTGGGCCCACTTGACGGAGTAGTCTCTAGTACACCTGGCAATATTTAATAGGAAGAGGCCTGGGAAAACTCAGCGCCTTTTAATGGACGATTACAAAAATTATGAAGTGATTGAAAATGAAGATTCATCAAACGAAATGGACAATTTATCTAGAGAACAATTGAAAAAATGGGCCAGAATAAAATTTACAGGAAAATTAGGGAAAAATACTGCTCTTCTTCAATCATCGAGATCTCGGCTTTAAAGCAATCGATTTAATCCTCAAAACAGATTTGTTTTTGGAGATCCATCTCGATCTAACACCCAAAGTACCTTTCAGCATGTAACTTGATAAGGAAATTTTCCATAGAGTCTGGTATTGAGAATCCAGAATTATTAAGGACCAGACTATTGAGGCAGCATTTAGCAACAGAAACGGTTCGCTCTCAGGTAGAGTATCGTCTAGAATACAGGGTTTCAGACTTTATGTCTCATAAAAGACATATACATGACAATTATTATGTCTTGACCCAAAAAACAGATGACATAACTGAAGTTTCAGCATTACTAGAAGAATTTTCATCAGTAAAAGATGTGGTTAAGAAACCAAAGACTGAAAATTCGGTGAAAATACCAAAGTCATTGTTTGTTCAGATTACACCGAAACCAGCAACAAAAAAATTAGCATTATCAAATAAAGTTGAAGCTAGTTCTACTTCTTCATCCGATGAAGAATACTTCCCAGAGGAAGATGATATAAGTCCTTCAGAATTCAAATATGTTATGGGTGAGTACCTACATTGATTGAATATAGCTTTATTTTGGTAGCCACTTCCATATACTCAAGGAAACTTGCTCTTGACTTTCGAGTTGAAATTAATACATTTTCATATCAGTAATTTTAAATTTCTGGTGTTTTAAGATTGCCTTATATATTGAAGAGGTTGTAACTTTTGAATATTCTGCTGTACGTTC